TAACAACCAAACTGTCTCCAGACCTTGACAAATGTCCCCTGGGGGTCAAAATTGCCCCTGTTGAGAACCACCTACTCAACAGCACACCGGAAGACATCAGCACGAAGACAAGTGTTTCCTGGAGCAGAGGGTAAACAACAGAGAGGAAGGGTGGACCACAGGAGGGGAAGGAGAAGGGACAATCCAGGAGGATGGTGGAGCGGTGGAAAACTCAGGGATGAACAAGTAAAGGGTGAACGAGAAGAGGGGGATGGAAGGACCATCTGTGAAGGGTAGGGGAGACTGATGGGAGGCAAAACATGGGCCAGAAATGTGAGTGATAGTGCTTGTTAGCCTGGGGTAGAGTCCCTGGGTGGTGTAAATGGTGAAGAACTTGCACTCGGCTGCTGACCGAAAGGCTGGAGGTGGTTATGGATTAACTTGTGTTTCCCAAAAACACATGCTGTAAATCCTAATCCCTGTACCTGTGGATGTAATCCCATTTGAGAATAGGGTTTTCTTTGTTATGGTGATGAGGTCATATCACTGTAGTGTAGGGTGTGTTTTAAACTGATCATTTTTGAGATATAAAAGAGCAGACTAGGATTAGGCATAGAGGCAAGCCAGCACCGATGGGGGAAGATCGACGCCATACCACATGACGATTGCCAAGCAACTGAGGAACAGAAGCTGAAAAGAGACAAGGACGCTCCCCCAGAGGTGACAGAGAGATAAAGCCCTCCTTAAGGGTCAGTGGCCTGAATTCATACTTCTAGCCTCCTACACTGTGAGAAAATCAATTTCGGTTTGTTAAAGTCACCCACTTGTGGTATTTCTGTTAGAGCAGCACTAGAAAACTAAGACAGAGGTTTGAGCCTACCCAGAGGTGCCTTGAAAGAAAGGCCTGCAGATCACCTTCTAGAAAATGAGCCATTGAAAACCCTATGGAGCACAGTGCTACTCTGACACATGTGGGTCACCATGAGTTGGAATGGACTCAACAGCAACTGGTTTACAGATTTCCCTTGGGGTAATAGTGGGAAGAGCCCTGGGGAGAGGCATACAGGGCCTCTGATTAGTACTAGTATTGTTCAGTCTAATTATTTATTATGTGGTGGTGGGCACATGGATATTCACCATTATTCATCTTTTTAATTCCATAACCTGTATAGATGTGGATACATATTTCACAAAACAAAAATAAAAGCATTAACAGCAAAAAGTTAATTGGCACAGCCACTCTTGTACTAGTTATACCTGTTTACTTGCTTAACTGTGCGGTTCTTAACTAAAGTGAGAGCCCTGGTGGTACAGTGGTTAAACTGAAAGGTCAGCAGTTCAAACCCACCAGCCGCTCTGTGGGAGAAAGATGTGGCGGTCTGTGTCCGTAATAATTTACAGCCTTGGAAACCCTGTGGGACAGTTCTTCTCCATCCTTTTGGGTTACTATATAGGCCGCTATACCTGTGTAGGTTGCTAGCTTAACTGTGCAGTTCTTAACTAGGTTTGATTAAATACGGGAAGGGGTATGCAAGAGGGAGGGGTTTGAAGAGAAACAAGACAAAATGAAACAGCAAAGAAAGGAGATCAATAAGGGTAAGAAAGAGATGGGATTAAAATGATGAGGTCTTTAACCAGACTTAATGGTCGGACTGAGACTGGAGACGCCCCAGAAAGCATGGCCCCTGGACTCTCTATCAGCCCAGAAGTAAAACAATTTCCAAGGCCAACTCTTCAGACAGGGATTGGACTGGACTGTGGGACATAAAGTGATACTCGTCAAGAGCGTGCCTCTTAGTCAAGTAGATACAAGAGACCAAAGGGGCAGCTTCTGTCCAGAGGTGAGAGGGGAAGGCAGAGAGGGTTAGGAGCTGGTTGAATGTTCATGGGGAATCAGGGGAGCAGGGGAGGAAAGGAGGAGCGTGCTGTCGCAGAATGGGGTGAGCCATTAGGGTCTCATAACAATGTATGTATAAAAATTTTGTATGGGAGACTAACTCGAAATGTAAACTTCATTTAATTAAAGAAAATTTTAAAAAAAAAAAAGGATGAGGTTTTCAATTTCTTAGCCACTCCCTGCAGCCTGCTCGGCCTGGTCTATAAGGACCATTGAGACAAGTGAAATGTTGAAGATACTTTGTGCTGCCATTCCCTTGGTGAACAAATAATTATTGAGCACCCTGAACATGACTGGCTTTATCCAAGGAACTGTATATTAAAGAAAGTGAGAGACTTCATCCCTGCCCTTGGGAGCTTACCGTCGATTTAAGGAGCTGATGTACCAATAAGCCAAGCAGTCAAGAAACAACAGAGAAGCACATCTGTAAAGGCCAAACTGGGTGGTGCTGGCAACAGCTGGATTAGGAGAGTTACCCGAAGATGGAGGTCTTTGCAGACTGCAAGGTCCCGAAAGGCCAGTGTGGGCAGGAGGCAAAACCCAGCGGCTCTGACCCAGCAGAGGGAGAGGCCAAAGGTACTCTAAGACAGGCCGGCCCAAGGGCAGGAGGGGCGAGACAGATGTAGGATAGTTGGCAGTAGAGCTGGTGGGAGCAGAGAGCCCGCTAGAAAAAGTGGACCTGGAAACTCGGGCTTCATTATAGGCAATAAATGCAAAAAGCGTCCTACTTGAGGAGCATACAGTCGGCGATGGGGGCTTGGGCTGCGGGCGGATGACTGGCGTCGAATCTTGCGTCAGAACCCTCGGGACGTACTCGGGCACGGGGGACAGGTAGTAGGGGGTTGCGTACGCTGGGGGGGCACTGGGAGCCCCAGGGGGCTGTGGAGGGTAGAAGTTCGCTGGCTGGTACCCGTGGTTTTCATAGTAAGGTGCTGGTGACCCCTAAACAGTGGAAAAGAATATGAGTACCAGAAAACTCTGCATTACTGTAAACGATCTAACATATAATATCACATTACATTCAGACAAGAAAGTGAGAAAGTACTACAGATTCTTTTAGGGCATCTGTAATTATGTCAAAACACTGAAAATCAGAGGAATGAAAACTAGCCAGAATTTTCAAATTCATCGTGCAACTTTTATTTATTTATTTATTTTTACTAACATTTTTTAAATTGTTCTAACAAAAAAAAAGTGACTGAAAGCAGGGATGAAAACATATATATGTATGTCAATGTTCATTGCAGCATTGTTCACAATAGCCAAAAGGTAGAAACAACACAAGTGTCCATCAACAGATGAATGGATAAACACAATGATGTCTATCCATTTGTTATTGCTGTTAGGTGCCATCGAGTTGACTTTTGACTCATAGTGACCCTATGTGACAGAATAGAACTGCCCCATAGGATTTATGGAAGCAGATTACCAGGTCTTTCTCCTGCGAAGCCACTGGATGGGTTCGAAGTAACCTTTTGGCTAGCAGCCAAGCACTTGACCATTGCAGCAATGGGGCTCCTTGATATATCCATACAATGGACTATTATCCAGCTATAAAGAGAAATGAAGTTCTGATACATGTTACGACGTGGATGAACCTTGAAAACATTATGGTAAGTGAGATAACAAGACACAAAAGGACATCGACAAGGCTTCTCCAAAAGAGAACCTATAGATTGGGAAAAATTTTTTGGCTACAACATATCCAACAAGAGTCTAATCTCTAAAATTTATAGAAAACTTCAATACCTCAACAATAAAAAGACAAACAATCCAACTGAAAAATGGGCAAAGGACATGAACAGACATTTCACCAATGAAGACGTTCAGGCAGCTGACAAACACATGAAGAAATGCTCGTAATCACTGGCAATCAGAGAAATGCAAATCAAAACTGCAATGAGCTACCATCTCACCCTGACATTCCTGGCATAAATCAAAAAAGCAGAAATTAATAAATGTTGGTGAGGTTGTGGGAGATTGGAACTCATACAGTGCTGGTGGGAATATAAAATGGTACAACCACTATGGAAAATGGTATGGCACTTCCTCAAAAAGCTGGAAATAGAAATACCATATGATCCAGCAGTTCCACTGCTAGGAATATACCCTACAGAAATAAGAGCCGTGACGCAAATAGGCATATGTACACCCATGTTCATTGTAGCCTAATTCACAATAGCAAAAAGATGGAAACAACCTAAATGCCCATCAACAGACGAATGGATTAGCAAACTGTGGTACATACACACAATGGAATACTACACAATGATAAAGAATAATCCAAGAAACATTCCACAACATGGATGAATCTGGAGGGCATTGTGCTGAGTGAAATAAGTCAATCACAAAAGGACAAATATTATATGAAACCACTGTTATAAAGTAACCACAAAAGATTTACACACAGAGAAAAACAAAACAAAACATTCTTTGATAGTAACCAGGAATGGGAAGGGGAGGGAGGGAAAATTACCAAATAGATAGAACACGTGTTAATATCGGTGAAGGGAGAGGCGGTACACAATATGGAAGAAGTCAGCACAACATGACCAAGGAAAGAGAGGCCACTGAGAGGAACGCAAGAATAAAGGGCATCTATGATAACTATAGCATAGACATCCTGCAACAATAGTATTAACAAACAATCCTTTATGAATGCAGACATTGTTAGATAGATATGCCAACAGGTATTGGAAGGGGTAAGGGAGCATGCACACTGGCAGATACAGGTTTGGTGGTGGATATTCCTACATACGTGACTGTAGGTGCTCTTCATATATTAATACAGACAATAGAGCACAGAAGTGGCACACTCAGGGAAACCTCTTAGACATAACCAAACCCCTTGGAGGATGAAGTTCCTAGGCTTGAAGACAAAGGACCACAGACTCAGGGGACACCTACGTCAACTGGAACAACATAGTTCATAAAGACAATATTCTGCATCCTACTTTGATGAGTAGCGTAAGGGGGTCTTAAAAGCTTTTAAGTGGTCACTGAAGATACAACTATTGGTCTGTTCCCATCCAGAGCAAAGGAGAATGAAGAAAACCAAAGACTCAAGGGAGCGATTAGTCCAAAGGACTAACGGCCCACATGAACCACAGCCTCTTCTATCCTGAGACCAGAAGAACTAGAAGGTGACCAGCTACCACTACCAACTACTCTGACTGGGATCACAACAGCAGGTTCCGGACAGGACAGGAGAAAAATGTAAACACAAAAAAGAACAGACTTACTGGTCTGGCAGAGACAGGGGGAATCCCCGAGGTTATGACCTGGAACTGAAGCCATTCCCAGAGACCACCTTCCAGCCAAACAACAGACAAGCCCATAAAATACACCGTAACACCTGAGAGGGACATGCTCCTTAGAACTATCAATTGTATGAGAACAAAAGGGCAATATTTGCCCAAAGCAAAGATGAGAAGGCAGGAAGGGGTAGAAAATCAGGACGAAAGGAAACGGAGAACCCAGGCCAGAAATGGGGACAGTGCTGACACATTGTGGGGAATGAAACCAAGGTCGTGAAACACTTTATGTACAAACTATCCAATGGGAATCTAATTTGCTCTTTAACCTTCCACCTAATGAACAAAAAAAAAAAAAAAAAAAGACACAAAGGAACAGATACTATATGATCCCACCAAAAAAAAAAAAAAAAAATTAGTGCATACCAAGGGCTGGCGGGAGGGGGTAAGCGGAAATTTAAAAAAAAATATTTTTTTTGATGTAAAAAAAAAAAAAAATGAGAAGAAGAAAAGCTAGCAGCATCTGTTCAGATAGTTGAGTGAATGCCTCACAAATATGCTTGTAAAATTAGTGGCAAAAGCTTATTCCTTTAAAGGCAGTTTCCAGGGACCCAATTTTTAGTATGATTAAGTCATCCATTGTATTACTGTCAAAGACCATGCAAAGATTGACCCATAAAAGGTTTCAAAATAATTATCATGCAAAAAAAAAAAAAAAAAAAAAAAGGCTGACTTTGGGATTTAGTAAAAATAAGAGGAAAAAAAGGTGTGGAAATTTGGGATTTAGAACCTACTGTACTCCTTTGAAAAAATCACCTGTACAAGACCAAATGGTCAACAACTACTTTAAAACAAAGATGGAAATGTAAAGAGGCAGGGAAACTAGATTAACAGAAATGCAACAACCAGAGCGGAAACAATGAGACTGTTCACACACGGTGACGAATGTAACCAATGTCACTGAACAATTTGTGTAGAAATTATTGAATAGGAACCTAAACTGCTGTGTAAACCTCACTGAAATCACAATAAAATATTATTTTTTTAAAAAAGAACCCATGCAGTCAATATCCTATATGCCTCTTATTCCTCCTGTCCTCTTCTTGAGAATTAATGTGCAGATTACGAACTAGAGATAAAAGAATTATAATGAGATTTATAATAGCTAACATTTGGCACTGAGCCTGCATACTCAGGTTCTTCTTGAGACCTGACCGTAACCCCTAACTGTGGCACAGGCACGAGGAAGCTGAGTTACATGGGTGAAGGCAACTGTCTACAGGATCATACTATCCACATTTTTCTGCAAATGTCTGTCCTATGTCTTCTTCTCTTGTAAAGACGTATTAGAAGTTTTGCACCATCTTTAATTAATGGACATTTCACTGGTTTTCATTTTGGGGTTGTTACCAATTCTGCTGCAATAAACATCCTTACTCGGCACATGCATTTTATTCTTACTGAGGTGAAACTCGCATAATGTAAAATTAACCATTTTCAAGTAAACAATTCAGTGCATTCACAATGGTATGCACCCAGCACCTCCGTCTATTTCCAGACCATTTCTATCATTCCAAGTAAAACCCCGTACCCACTATGCAGTCCCTCCTCATTCCCTGCCACTGGCAACCATGAATCTACTTCCTGTCTCTATGGATTTACCTATTCTAGAAATTTCGTATAAATGGACCCATACAATATGTGTCTGTTTGGGTCTGGCTTCTCTCACTCAGCATAATGCTTTCAAGGTTCATTGCCGTAACGTGTACTAGGACTTCAATTCTCTTTATGGTTGAATGATATTCCACTGTATGGATGTATCCCATAACACTTGGGCGGTTTCCACCTTTTGGCTACTGCAAATAAATAAGCACATGTATTTTTGTGCAAACTGTGTGGATTTCTGTAGCAACATCCCTGTAAATGGGATTTCTGGGTCACAGTGTACAGACAGCACACTAGCACTGTCTTCTCAGCTCTAACCTGTGGGTGTCTGCCTTTGTAGAATGTCTTTCTTCTCTCCCTTTGCTTCCTTAAAAAGTACCCTCTCAAGGTCCACCCCATAAACACAGGCCACTCAGGAACCCGTCTTCCTTCACATCTCCTCCTTCCTTCAGTGTTCTGAGATCATCCACTGGCTGGGCTACTCTGGAAGGTCACAGTTTGCCTCTCACCAGCCTCCATCAACCCCATGCAAAACTTTTCCCCACTCATGACCTCCTCCTGCCGCTTGTCTCTCATTGACTCTGAACTCAAAGCCGCTAGGTGCTCTGAGCTGAGGCAGTTCAGTGCTTAGAATTTTAAATGTGACCTCCAGGGAAGCTGATTATAAAGGAATAAGCAAAATGCAGGTTACCACAGTTAACTTCTGCTTAATAACTCACTAATGCTCTCCTTCAAAAGTCCAAAGATTACAATTCCAAACCCTAGAAGCAGACAAAGAGGGAAAATGAAATGCAATCTCTCATCTAAATAGAGATACCAGAGCCACGAAAAGAAGCCCAGGGGTTTGGCCTGTATCAAAGCATCTAAGAACACGGTGTCCCACCCAGGGAAAGGTTTGTAGCAAGCTAATTAGTTTGTCCCCATGAATTCCTGTGCAGTAGATCAGTAGATTTGAAATTAAAACAAGATCCAGTGAAAATAAACATCAGTTACAGATAAAGGGGTAAAAAACAAAAGGTGTATTTTCCAGGTTAGGATCTAGAAAAGTTTTGTTACTAACTATGAGCTTTTTGCTAAATGCTTTTATTCCCAGACATAAAAGGAATTAGTTAGATGAGATGGGAACAAAGATACTCTATATTTGTCTCCAGAGGAGGTCGGTTCCTAGATAATCAAATGTTTATCAGGAAGGTAGACTAGCAAAACCACTCCCCCACATGACCTGTTAGCCATTGGTATCCCACACATGCTTTCTTCCCTGGAAGTACTCTCTCTTACCACCATCCTCCTGCCTCTACGTGTCCCCGCACCTTGCCCCTGCCTCAAAACAGGAGGTGATCAAGGTGAGAAGGCACACCATCACCCAACCACCCAACAGGAATGGCTTCCAGAACTCCCATCTGAGCACCTGCTGGGTAACTACACCCTTAGCTCACTCTTCTACTCACCTGTAAGGATGCCTTGAACAATGTAGTGAATGCATTGGCTACAAACAGCTCGTTAAAAATGCTGCCCAACACACACTTTGGGAACTAACGGAAGGAGTAAGGGAAGAAAGATAAGTGCAAGAAGGTAATAATTAACCACTTACTGAGTTTAAAGCCATCCTGATTTGATCAATAACATCAGGTAATGTTAGATATTTGGAAAATTCAAGAGGACCTAGAAGAAAGAATGACAAGACTGTAGTATTTCTGTACTCGTTGGTTTTTAGAAGATAAATCTAGAAAGAAATAGGAAACTTTCTAGGTGAACGTAACCTCTCACTAGAACAAACACAGTTTTACCCACTTACCTTAGACCTTCTTTTTTCGCTCACATCTTCCCACAACTACTCATCTGTGAGTTGGTCGCACTGTGGTGGCATGTGTGTTGCCGTGATGCTGGAAGCTATGCCACCAGTATTTCAAATACCAGCAGTGTCACCCATGCTGGACAGGTTTCAGCAGAGCTTCCAGAAGGGCCTGGCAATCTACTTCTGAAAATGAGCCAATGTAAACTTTATGGATCACCACGGAACATTGTCCAACTTGTTTGCTTTGCACATGTCATCAAGAGAGAACAACTGCTAGAGGAGGACATCATGTTTGGTGAAGTAAAGGGCCAGCGAGGGCAAGGGAGACCCTTGGTGAGACGGAGTGGTGGAATAACCACAACAATGGACTTGAACATGCTGGTGATTGTGAGGTGATGCAGGACTGGGCAATGGTTTGTTCTGTTGTATGTAAGGCCACCATGAGTCAACTCAACAGCAGCTGTCAACAACACCCATACTTAATAAGTTTGGACTCGCTCGTATCTTTGAGTTTAACACAGAGGCACTTATCTAGTCCCACATCCTCATCTGGGATCCAGATGTGCCCATGTGGGTGGGGGGGATGAAGTGCAATTTTAAATAAGGTGGCCAGGAGAGCCTCACCAGGAAGAAGGTGAAGGAGGTACAGGCTCAACAGCTAGGACATTGTGTGTGTGGAGGGGCTGTTCCCCAGGTGGAGTGCTCAGTGTTGGGCCACTCCTTGGCGTCCCTGCCCCTAAACCCAGGTATCTGAGTTCTAGTGCACTTAGATTCTTACCAGGATGCTGGGATTTCCCCCTTATGTTACGTCTCACAAAAGGAGAATCCATGGAATAAAAACACACGACCTCCACAAGGTAATCTACGGACCCATGAAGCTCAGCAAGGAGGTTACGGTGGGTGCAGGAGGCTAAAACTGGGATCATATCCCAGCAGTGCCACTTACTGGGGTGTGATGGGGCAAGTGGCCAAACCTCACTGAATCTCGGCTCCTCATCTGAAAATACACATGGTCCTCAACACTGTTAACTGACAATTCGAGGAGAAGGTGCGGAGGGGACACCTCACTCAGAGCCGGGCACCGAGTGACAGGGGTGCTGTCAGACACTCCCCCCCAGAATGTCCACAGGCATCTGGGGTGGCCATCCTCAGTCAGCAGGCAATCTAGAGTTTAACGCTAGATGTAGGTCACATTTGACTTTTTAACATAAGCCACGTGGAAACTCTCAGTTTATAATAAATGTATACAGAGAAAAAATCCGTGAAACACATCCACACCCACCACCTACTCTATCTACTAACCCAAATCCCAGAAAAGAGAAATTCAGAGCTAACCATGTTGACTGTTTCGAAAGGTAGTAGCTTGTTTGCATGTTGCTGGGATGCTGAACAGGTTTTAGCGCAGCTTCCAGACTAAGACGGACTAGGAAGAAAGGCCTGTCAATCTACTTCTGAAAATCAGCCAGTGAAAACCCTATGGATCCCTGTAACTACTGCCTTGAAATAATCTTTAAACTTTAACCTAAAAATATCCCCTGAAGTCATCTTAAAACCAAACAATAGTTCAGTTTAACTAGTAAAAATGCCTGCCTTGAGCATTGTGCTCTTTTAAGATCTATCTATATGGGATCAAATTGACAACAGCAACTTGAAAGATTAGATAGGAACCTTAGGGGGCAGTGATTTTATGTTAATGGGGAAGGAACAATTTAGAAAAGGAGGGTGATAATGGTTGCAGAACTTGAAGAATGCAATCAATGTCACTGAATTGTACATGTAGAGACTGTTGAATTGGTGTATGTTTTGCGGTGTAGAGTCTCAAGAACAACAAAATAAATACAGTCAGCCCTCCGTATCCACGGGTTTTGCATCTGTGGCTTCAACCAACCGTGGATTGAAAATATTAGGCAAAAAAATAAATTTCCAAAAAGCAAAACTTGAATTTGCCGTGTACGGAGCACTACACTGAATCCACGCGAAAGAAGTGGTATGTAGGCATCCGTTGCTGCAGCCTCCCACCATTTCACAGACCTTCAGTCTCTCTCCCCAGCACTCATTGTTTGAGCGTTGTTTGCCTCGCATCTGTCATTCTTCCCTAAACAATACCGTGGAACAACTATTTACCTAGCATTTACATTGTGTTAGGTATTATAAGTAATCTAGAGATGATTTAAAGTACACAGGACGATGTGTGTAGGTAATATGCAAACACTACGCCATTTATATAAGGGAGTTGAGGATCCTAGGATATTGGTTTCCATGGAGGGTCTTGGAACCAATCTCCCGCAGATACCTAGGGACGACTGTAAAATTTAAAAAAATAAATAAATGAAGAAGACCTTATGGCTCACAATGGTCTGATCCACAACTGATCATGGGGATGATCCATTGTGCATGGGGTTGCCATGAATCAGGGACCAACTCAACGGCAGCGAACAACAACGGGTAGAGATAATGCAAAGAAAGCTCTGGGTGTTCTGTTTGTAAACGTTTGTGAATAATTCACGATAATCTCTAGAAAGAGGGTCAACATGAAATGCTTTATAGATATGCCCCCGTTCTGATATCACTCTCCCCTCATGAGCAAATGAAGAGCTTTATCCTACCTCGCTCTACCTTGGCTCAAAATACACAAAGAATGGTTCATGAAATTGCCTTCAGATCTTTGGTCCACAGACCATGTTCCTGATGAGTGAATGGGGCTGGAGAAAGCTCTGGGTTTTGAAGTGGGCCAGATTGGGGCTTGGATACTTTTCATCTGTAAAGGGCTGGGCACATGGCAGGTGCTCCCCATGAGCTCTGGGGCCAGACTCTTTGGGTCCAAATCCCAGCTCCGTCACTCAGTAGCTCTGTGACCTGGGGCAAGTTAGTTAAAATCCTCAGTTTTCTCATCTGCAAAATGGAGATACTGGAGCACCCACCTATAGGGTAGAGTCCTTGAGTGGTGCAAACGGGTAAGCACTCAACTACTAGACAAAAGGTTGGCAGTTCAAACCCACCCAGAGGTGCCTTGGGAGGCAGACCTAGCGATCTGCTTCCAAAACATCAGTCATAGACGATCCCATGGAGCAGTCTACCCTGCACACACGGGGTTGCTATGAGTCAGAATAGAGTCAACCGCAACTAACAGCAACAACCTATAGGGTTGCTGAAGGTATTAAATGGCTTAATATTTATGAATCTCTTACTGCGCCTGGCGTAGAGAGTACTACTATTACTGCTACTACCAGTTGCCACTGAGTTGTTCCACCTCATGGCAACCCCATGTGTGCAGAGTAGAGCTGCTCCATAGGGTTTTCATGGCTGTGAGCTTTCTAAAGCATATTGCCACACCTGTCTCCTGGGGCACCTCTGGGTGGATTAGAACCTCTAATCTTTTGGTTAGCAGCCAGGCGCATTAACTGTCTGTGTCACCCAGGGACTCCTGGCGCATGGAGTAAGTGCTACATAAAAGCCTGTTTGTTATTCTTGTTAGGTGCCGTACAGTCGGTTCTGACTCACAGCGACCATATACACGACAGAATGAAACACCACCCGGTTCTGAGCCACCCTCATTATTATCGCTGTGCTTGAGCCCATTGTTGCAGCCACGGTGTCAATCCATCTCGTGGAGGGTCTTCCTCTTTTTCCCTGACCCTCTACTTTACCAAGCGTGATGTCTTTCTCCAGGGACTGTTCCCTCCAGATGCTTGTTTAATAAATGCTTGTTTAATAAAGGTAATTACAAAGCTGATTGTTTTACAGCATCAAATTAACATCACCAACACTATAACCTATAGTACATCCTTATGCTTGAGTGCTATAATTTTATGGCCAAGAGTGAGTACCATAGCAAGGCAGTAATTAAGCTGTTTCTTGTAACATTTTGTATTACCCTATTATTGCCATGGAAACTCTAGTGGAGTAGTGGTTAAGAGCTATAGTTGCTAACCAAAAGGCTGGCAGTTTGAATCCACCAAGAGCTCCTTAGAAACCCTATGGGACAGTTCAACTCTGCCCTGTAGGGTTGCTGTAAGTCAGAATTTACTCGACAGCAGTGGGTGTTTTTTTTTTTTTTTTTTTTTTTTTTATTGCCATGAATCCCTGGTGGGTACAGTTAACATACTTGGCTACTAACCAAAAGGCTGGACGTTCGAGTCCACCCAGAGGTGCCTCAGAAGAAAGGCCTAGTGATCTACTTCTGAAAATTCAGCCATTAAAAACCCTATGAAGCACAGTTTTACCAGCACACATAGGGTCTCCATGAGTCAGAATTGACTTGACAGCAGCTGGTTTCATTTTGAGCGGCTTCTCGGTCAATCGAAGTCATGGTTGAAGCCATCCTAAAGCACACGAACTAGATTTTGTCTACCCCCTTCATAAAAATCATCAAAGCACATCAAAATTAAGTCTGGGTCAAATGTTCCAAACTCTTAAAAAAGCAACCTGCTATGAAGAAAATCATGAGTATGGCTTTTTAATCTTTGGAAACCTCATCGAAGGTGGCGATAAAGGCACTATTTGCAGTACTTTTCATGTGAAGGTGGAAACCCTGGTGGTGTAGTGGTTAAGTGCTACGGCTGCTAACCAAAAGGGCGGCAGTTCGAATCCGCCAGGGGCTCCTTGGAAACTCTATGGAGCAGTTCTACTCTGTCCTATAGGGTAGCTATGAGTTGGAATCAACAGCGGTGGGTTTGATTTCTTTGGTTTTCATGTGAATGTAAATTATAAGAACCAGTTCCATGTTGATAGCATCAACGTTTTATAAGACTAAAAAAAGTGACTACTTTTCTGGGTATGGGGAAAGAAAATTCACCAGTAAAGAGGTGGGAGGGATCACCATTTAA